AGGGCGCCGGGAGGGGCAGGGGCAGGGGGAGGTCGGGCGCGCCCGAGCGCCTTGTTTTTGCCCCAGAAGCAGCCGCTGCCCTTGCGAGGGGACGTGGGAACGGAGTGTGGGAAAGCAGGCGGCCTAATGTTGCCCGCGTGGGCGAATCTAATTAGCCCTTTGGCGCTCCACCCTCGCCCAAAACTCCGGCCTCAGCTCATCCAAAGAACAATTTCCAAACGGCGTCAAGAGCCGCGACAAGCACGAAGCGACCCGGCCACATCCCAGCACCCGGAAGGGCCAAGCCGATAACGCGCGTGTGAAAGGCCCCTTCGCGCGACCCGGTTTTCTTTGCCGCAAACACCCTGGATGGGCCCAAGTGAATAAAATGCCTTTGCAGAGGTGGTCGCTCGTAGGAATTTGCGTTTACGAGCCGAGTCGCTGGCCGTCGTGGCCCGGGGGCGCCCTGCCACCCTGCCTGGACTGCAGGAAAAAAGGGGGGAGGAAAAAGTGGGACAGAAGGCGCGCAGCCCCAACTCGGCAACGTAGTTTGAGAGCGAGCGAGGCCCGCTCTGCCCCCGCGTCACGCCAGGGAAGGCGCCCCAAACCAGCTCGCCGGGCCGCCCCCTCCGTCCCCGGCAGAGAAGCCGCGGACCGGGCACGACTTCGGGACCGTCTCTTAGACCTGCGCTCTTGGCCAGGAGGCTGCATCGCCCCGTCGCTCTCAGTGCAGATCGACGGCCTTGCAAAAGCACACAGCAAAGGCGGTTTGGGAAAAGAATCCTCCTGCGGGTATAGAATAAACGGAGGATTCGTTTCTGGGACTCGCTGCCCCCAGAGGGGTGGACCGCTTCGATCGCCAGGCCGAAACAAGGCCCGGTGAGGACGCTCCATCCTCACTGGACCTTGCTTTGCTTTGTTTTTTTCAGATTCCTCCCTATTTGGCTTCCCCACCCCCCTTTTTAAATTATGATGGTTTCTGCAAAACTCCCCCGTCTTCTTCATTTTCATCCCGGGTGTCTTTTCGTCCCATGACGACACGGGAGCCCTCCTCCTACTGCATGCTGCATTAGACGGCCTTCCATGACCCGACGCTGGTTGGATATGTTACGATCCCCCCAGCTGACACGACCTCCTCCTTACAGTGGCTAACAGAACCTACATGTTCAGGGACAGTCTACCCCCGAATAGCAGTTGTTGGGGCAGAATCTGTTTTTATGCCTGAATCTGGCCTAGACGGCCCACCCCTGTGACTGAAGTTCTTGCTCCTACTCCTATTATGACGACTAATAATAGCAATTATTGTTATCAGCTTTGCATGGAACCCATTTCCAGCTCTTTTCTATGTACTGCGTATGTAGAAACAAGGAGACAGGCTACCCTAGTGCAGTAGCCGGCGCTGCACTGGTTTCAAATTGTTTTCCCAAAGAATTCAAAGCGCTGGTTTTAATCCGCGTAGCTCAGTAGGTACTGACCGATCTGCCCCATCCGAGACGTTCTGCTCAAGAGGGTTGCTCTGGGCACTGTGGTCCGGGAGGTGCAAGGTGCAGGAGTCAACAAGTCCGCGTCTCGCCATCTCGTTGGCGTCTGCTCGCTTTTGTGTTGCTTTTAATGAGCATTATGATGTGGTTCCCTCCCTCAAATCCTGCCACGCACCTCGTTGTGGATGGAGGGCATCTGCGTGCTCCTGGGAGGGATGAGCAACGGTCCCCAAGACTGCGAGCAGAGCCACCCGAGGTGCGGAGGCCACCCCAGCCGCCCAGCTAAGGCAGGCTGGCGCCTGGATAGGGCAGCAGCCGTATGGGGAGACGCTGGAGGAGGAGGAGGAGGAGGAGGAGGGGGGCCGCTTTTGAGAGAATGGCCAGGGCGTCGTTTTGCGTTGCGCGGGAGAAGGAACCGCCAGCCTTGGAACTGGCAGTGAGATGTTGACGTGCTGGAGAGCTGCCGCTTTTCAGGATCAGAAATATGCCGCAGAGGAGCACTTGGCAGAGCAGCCGTGAAGACTTGGCACAGACATTCAGATGCCGGGATGTGTCTATGCCAGTGTTGTCCAAACTTGGGCACTTTAAGATGAGTGGACTTCAACTCCCAGAATTCCCCAGCCAGCATGGCTGGCTGGGGAATTCTGGGAGTTGAAGTCCACTCTTCTTAAAGTGCCCAAGTTTGGACAACACTGGTCTACACCTACAAAACCGCGCAAGCCACAGAACTCCCGTGACCCTCTGCAGAAGCGAAAGTTGGACTTTAAGGAAGAGGAAGAGGAAGATACGGATGCCCTCGAAGGATGGCACTG